CATCAAGTAATATTGATAAATAATAATATAAATTTAAATAAATAAAAGACATTTATATAATAATAAATTATATTTATATATGTTTATAATAGCATTAAAAATATGTATAATATTTAAAAACAATAATGTAATCAAAGTCATACTTCAAATATGACATGATCGGTTTGTCATTGTAATTAGAATTTAGAAATGAACCTTCATTAGAGAAATGAAGTAATTGCTGATTAATAAATTCTGTAATATTCGTTCACACGGATTATGTTAAACAACGCTCACACAAATATTGTTTTCGCAACTTCACTCATCATCTAATAATTGTGTTTGAAGAACTTCATGTAATTAAAATTAATATACATTCATTGACTGCTTGTATTTTTTTTACTTTTTCGCTGGCGATATAATCTCATTCTTTGAAAAGCTATAATATCTGTCTTGCCTAAAAAAATATTTTCCATTTTAATAATTTCAAAGATTTATAGAAACTACGAATAATATAGAATAATTTCTAATCATTAAACCTACGATTAGTACACGGCACAAATGTTTAATTTGTTTTATTATTTGTGGGGACAGGGTAAAATATTCTTCTGATTCAGGCATTTTTCATTAAATCAAGATTTGCACTACAAGATTTAACTTTAAAATGTTTATTTATCTATGTCGATTTCCTTGTTGATGCGGTACGCATACAACGTTAATGCCGGTACGCATACAACGACAGATCTCTATTCACATACGCGACGACTAATCACAATCGACCTGTATAGAAATGTAAAATGAAATCATCGAGAGCGAATGACGAATCATTGGCACTCGATTATTATCTGCTATAACTCACTTCCGTTGCATTTGTACAGATTTACACCCTAGGCCTAAAGAAGTTTTACTTCAAGAATAAAAAAAATCTTCCTTTACTTTTAAATTTTTATATTTTCTATTTTTGTCCTCAGTCTGTTTATTTTGAGTATTGTCATTCAAGAGGCACTTTTCTATCAATATGACCCAGATCCAGTTTTCATCAGACAGTAGAGTTCTTTCTTCCTTAACTCTTAGCAGAATTTTTTCATTTGTTACCCTGTTGGTCAATTTCATCTTCTACATCCTTCACCAAAACCACATCATGTAACTTTCAGGATAAAGAGACCAAGTTTCTGATCAGTAGCACTGATCTGTATCAGTTTTTTCACAAACTGAGTTCTATTTTCATAGTCCATGTCTCCGATCCATACTGTAAAATTACAACTGATGTGTCTATTACCATTACCATGTCCTATCTTCCGCCACATTACTCTTCCATGCACCCTTAAATATATATTTTTTAAACAACTTCTAACTGATGATATGATATGAGAACTGCAACACTTGTCGCCAAAATTATTTTACGTTGTCAGAAGCACTTGCCGAATTCCACGAATTAAAACGCTCCGGCGAACAATTTGAATGAAAAGCGACACATTGGTAAATATCAAGCAAATTTCCAAATGTAAATGTATTGGTATGTTGGTGGTTCGAAAGTGAGTTGTAACATATGATGGTGGTCGCCCTCGGAGGACACAATGAGGTGTAATTAGGCCCCGATTGTTGTCAGAAAAAAAATGATGAGGTTTTTTATAGATGGATTTTGGGGTCGGATTGTGTAATTGTTGTTATTAGGTATATTGGTATACTATAAGTTATTATAAGAATAATTTTATTAATATATTGCGAAACTTAATTTAATGCTTTAAATTTTTACCTTCCTATTTATTTATAATCATTTTAGTAATCGAATTGTATATCATACGCTTTTGGTCATTGAATGTTTTTACTGAATTTTGTTTCAGATTTTCTGATATTTCTTAAGATTTCAGCTGAAGACCCTAAATTTGGGTGTTCCAAGTTTTTTACACAAACATTTATATATTAACATTTATATTTTAAATACTTGCATGTTGCATGTACAATAAAAAGGGCTTTTGTGTGTTCATTACTCATTCTTTTGAAATGCCCAAATCGAATTTTGCAAGTTCTAAAAATATTGTTATTTCCAAATAGTTTAGTTTATTTCTCTGTTAGTTACGATTATAGTAAAATAACAATACGATTTCTTTTAATATTTTAGAGTTTTATGTTTCTTTATATTTTTTTTTAATGCAACTGCTCTGAAAATTTACAAATTAACTTTTTTTTAAAACAAGTTTAAAAACCGGGCGTTACATGTATGAAAAATTTTGTTTTAGAAATTCATTTGAAATCCATACGTTTCTCCTAGCATCCTAGCCTTCATTGAGAGAAAAATGACTATACCAATTAGAACTAACATAAGTAAATTGTTACATAATATTTGCTAGTAAATAATGTCACTTACACCTAGTTATATTTGCTAATTTCATGTTTCTCGACGTTTCGAGTCATTCTGACATCGAATGAGACCAAGTTTGGGCAAAA